AACACAGCAGGCCAAGCAGCATCATAGGAGCAGAGAGGCTGACGTTTCGGGCCTAGAGAAGGGTCTAGGCCCGAAATGTCAGCCTCTCTGCTCCTATGATGCTGCTTGGCCTGCTGTGTTCATCCAGCCCTGCACCTTGTTGTCTTAGACTGAATGGTCTGTTTTCATACTGTATGACTCTATGACCCTAACTCTAAGTCAATGAGATCACAGGAACACCATAAATCATACACATAAGCTGAGACTTAGAATAATTAATATTAGCACTGAACAGCTCAGCTAAGAAAATCAGGAAGAAGATAGAGTGTAATCACCAGAACATTTCAAGAGACCGTGCCACAATCAACTGGAAATCATGAGTCTGTTTTCCAAAGAGAACTTACTACTTTTCTACTATTTTGTACTTACTGCTATTAATTTAATAAATTGTGAAGCTTGTGACAATATTCTGATACCTAGCGTGGTCCACAGCTAGTCTGAACTAAGTGTATAATTTGTATGAAGAATTAAAGCTTACACAGATGAAACTACGATTTCAGGTTTTTCCTCACACATGCAGAAAAACACTAATTAATTAATAACCATTGTATTCAGTAAGATGTGAAAAATCTGTGAATTGTTTCTCTGAAACAGATAATAATTTCTCCAAATAATACCAGCAGCAATTGGAGCTAATTACATGACACACTTGTCCCTGTTGCAGCTGGATTTAGGGGATCACTCTCACTAAGTCATCGAAACACTATTTCAAAACATGAAATAATTTAATAAAGGGATAAATTCAACAATTTAGACAGATCTATTTCTCTCCAATTTTATTAAATGTTAATTCAATATGTAATTTATGATTTATGAAAATTCTAACTTTTAAACTATCAAAAGATAGAATCTAAAGTTTTTCATTTTGCATGTCATAAGTGGGTTAAAATACAGAAAACCCAACAAAAACTAAAAACAAGTTACTAAATGATCCTCACCGATTTAATTTGGCTTGCTTGTGTCTTGGTTTTTCTGCTAAGTATTTTGCACGGCAACTGTTACACATCAGGTAGTATGGGCTCCCTGTGCCACACTCTCCTCCAAACCAACCATCAACATAGGCTCCATTACTCCGATATCCCAAGTGACCTGCACTCTCTCCACAACCAGGGTGATGTCTCTTCATGTGACTATTGAACTGCATTGTATGAGTATCACACAGTTCACAAACGACGATCTCCTCTGCATCCGAGCTGTCCTGGCACTGAATGAGTTCACCAAGCAATTAGTTTTTCGTAAGAAAATCTACAAATTCTTATTAACACATTCAATGCCAATAAATAGAAAAAAGACTTCGAATCATTGAATCCCTACAATGTGGAAACAGGCCATTCGGCCCAACAAGTCCACATCGCCCCTCCGAGGAGCATTCACCCAGACCCATTCGCCTACCCCTGCATTTCCCATGTCTACCCACCTAACCTAAACAGCCATGGGCACTGTGGGCAATTTAGCACGGCCAATCCTAGCCTGCACATCTTTGGACTGTGGGAGGAAACCAGAGCACCTGGAGGAAACCCATGCAGACACGGGAGAATGTGTAAACTCCACACAGACAGACAGTCACCCCAGGCTGGGATCGAACCCAGGTCCCTGGCACTGTGATACAGAAGTGCTAACCACTGAGCCATTGTGCCGCCTAATTTATTGCATTTAAATGATGCTTTTTGCAATCTCAAGACACCCAGAAGTGCTCTATTGCTAATGAATTACTGCTGTATTGTCAGAAATATCACATCCAATTTATATATAGCAAGACCCCACAAACAGCAATATCATAATAACCAAACAGTCTGTTTGGTTATTTTGATTGGTAGATAAATATTTGCCTGAACATTGCACATAACTTCTCTGAGCCTCTTTGAAATAATGTCGTGAAATCTTTTAAGTTCACCAAAGGGGGAATGCTGGGCCTTAATTTAATGTCTCATTCTGAAGATAGCAGTTCCCACAATGCAGAACTCTCTCTTTATCACACTGGATGGTCAACATCAATTTTTATGTTCATGGGGAAGTGACAATATAGTGGTTTTATATCACTGTACTAGTAAAAGACCACACCTCCCAAATCCCTCCACAGCAGCTGGAGGTTTAAATTCAATTAATAAATAAGGAATTAAAAGCTACTCACTGAAACCATTATTGACTCATTTAAAATGGAAATCAGGTTTGCTAATGTCCTTTATTTTCTAGGACAATTAAAACTGTCAGTTACCTGGGCTATGAATCTAGACTCTCAGCAATGTGGTTTACTCTTAACTGCTCTCTGCAATGTCTTAGCTAGGCACTCAATTTTGTACAGAGTCAAAAAGGAATAATACTGTGTGTACCAATACCACATGAACTGCAGAGGTTCAAGGAAATGAATTAACAGCATAGAGGTTAACGGGTATGATCTTACGTAATGGAGACATGGTTACAAGGAGATCAAAGCTGGGAATGGAACGTTCAGGCGTATGAGAGAATGCGACAAATAGCTTCAGTTTGGGGTTGTTCCTGTAATCTTGCCACAAAATAACACATCCGTAATCTTTGGTACTAGTGGATTATTTCTAGTGTACTTAACTTATCCTGCCATTACCAGCGTTTTCCACTTATTTGAAGTAGAAAATGCCTACATAAGGACTGTTTGTGGTCAACTTATTTGGCAAGCGTAATCTAGAGAGCCCATCATCATTCTCACGCAAGTTGGATTGCTGATACTTAATTGCCTAAGTGTGAGCTGATACCAAAAATGCCCACCTCTGTATATGGCATGCAGCTAGGGATGCTATCCCTGTATGAGACCCGAATATTGTGATCAATGGTCTGTGGTCTGTTTGTAGTGTAAATTCCTAGCCGTACAAGTAATGGTGGAATTGTCTATTGCCAAATATGATTCTAGAGCTTTTTTCTGTGCATAGTTCATTCCTGTTTTGTTTAATGATCTTGATACAAAAGCTATTGACATCTCTTCACCACTGAGTATTATGTGAGAAATAACTGCTCCCTCTCCATATCGTGATGCATTGCATGCTGGTTGCAAAGGTAACGTTGGGCCAAAATGATTCAGGACTTTGGCTTTTAATAAAGCCTCTTTGGCTTGAATAAAGAATCTTTCACATTGATCTTCCCTTTTCCAATTTCTGTTTTAGCATAATACTCAAATGATTTTACTACATTATGAGAGGAAAACCTATAAACCTTTCGAGGGGTCTGGTATAGCTAGAGAAGCCAAGCTCCAAAGTCAAGTACGACGAAACTGTAGGGATCCTACAGATGGATTGTTCACTAAAAGCATTATTGGTTGCTGAAAGATTCAGATTTCACAAAGTCAACCAGCATGATGGTGAATCTAACTCCAAGTTTGTGGGATTTAAAAAAATTGGCATCAGTTGTGCTGTCTCCAGGAACAGACTGCTGTGTGGTTTATGAAGTTAATGGGGTGGCACGGTGGCTCAGCGGTTAGCCACCGTGATTAGTGGTTCAATTCCACCCTCGGGCGACTGTCTGTGTGGAGTTTGCACATTCTCCCCGTGTCTGCGTTGCTTTCTGCCAGGTGCTCTGGTTTCTTCCCACAGTCCAAAGATGTGCAGGTTAGGTGGACTGGCCATGCTAAATTGCCCACAGTGTCCAGGGATGTGTAAATTAGGTGGATTAGCCATGGGAGATGTAGGGTTACAGAGAGTGGGAGGGGTGGTGTGGACTTGTTGGGCTGAATGGCCTGTTTCCACACTAGGGATTCTATGATTACAAAGAAACCTCTGAAGATATTACTGATGGAAAGGAACCTAGACTTAAAGGAAAGCACTGGAAATAGCAGTCTCGATGGAACTAGCAACCAAGGAAACTCAACAGCTAAACTTGAGTATGAGAGTTCTAAATAGCAGTTGAGACACAAGCATCAATACATTCTCAAAACTGCCAGACTGGAAAAACACAGTCACGTAGCAGCAAATTACTAGTGTAAAGAAGCTGTATGCAAAAGCTGCAGCAAGAAAAAAAAGGCACATTAAATGTGTGTGTTTGATTAAGAAAATAAACAACACACAGTAAAAGTACAGAAACTGAAGATCAGGGTGTCCCGGAGGGAATGTTCACTGGAAGGCTGACAAGGGAGGGGAATATGTGTCTTTCTTTATTCATTCACGAGCTGAAGGCGTCACTGGCCAGGCATCATCCCTCATTGCCCAGAGGTGACGGTTTCCTGCTGGGGCTGGTAGAAATGACAGCTTATGGTCCTTTGGATGTGAATGCTGGTGGGATGAAAAGGGAGGATGAGTGTGTTGGGAGGATGAGAGGATGGAAGAGAAGGGTGAGGGCAGAAGTGTGGGAATTTGTTGGACACAGCTGAAGGCCTTGTCAACCATGGCGGTGGGGAATCCTCGGTTGAGGAAAAAGTGGACATTTTGAAGGCCTTTTGTGGAAGTTGGCACCATCTGAACAAATGTGACAGAGACAGAGAAACCTGGAGAATGTAGGACCAGGGGGCATATTCTCAGAATAAAGGAGTCACCCTTTAAGATAGAGATGAGGAAGAATTTGTTCTCTCAAAGGGCGGCAAATCTGTGGAATTCTTTACACTGGAGAGATATTGAAGGGTTACGAAGAATATTCAAGGTGGAGATAGGTTTTTAATCAGTAGAGGAATCAAGAGTCATATGGAAAAAGGCAGAAACATAGATTTAAGGATTATCAGATTTGCCACAATTGCAATGATTGGCCTGCTTCTTATTTTTCCATTTTATGATCTTACAGTAGGTCACACCAAACTTGTCAAGGGCAACTGAAGATGGATAACAAATGCTAGTATATCTAGTGACACTCACATTTCATGAATGATTTAACAAATTCCTGAAATGGTTGTTGAACTCAAAGAAGAATATTACCAAGTAAGCCACAGTTATGACAGTATTCAGATAAAATATTCAAAATTATTCAGGAAGAATTAAAACTATTAATTTATAAAATAATTACAATAAATTATTCATAAATACCATTTGAGATGTATTTAAAATACATGTAATATAGAAGTTCTATCTAAAAATGTACAAATAAAGAAGCAACAAAAGTTTTAGACCATGAATCAGATACTCTTAGTGAGAACTGGCTACTGTTTTCTCTAGTCTGGAAATCTGTAAATCCAAAGTAAAAAGTCAATACTTCAGAAATTTGGCATTCTTTAGTTGTGTCAAATAAATAATATCAGCAGCCACAAGAGTGAAGGGAGGCAGTGTCCCAACAACCAACATTTACAGTAAGGACCATTGGGTAGAGATACAAGGACACGGGCTAAAATCATTCCTTCCACAAGCCCAGGTCACGGTGTTAAGATTAGTTTCAGAAATAATATTTGCTGTAGAAAGTTTTGAAAAGGCAGAGAATAATTATGATATTGGGTTCTAAATGAAATGAGAAGGTTGCAAGATTACTCATTCAGCAGCCATCTTTGTAATTTGATGTAATTTTATTGCTTTAACTGCCAAGTCTTGCATGTTGGGTCTGGATTCTCTAGAGAAAAGAGAAGTGGACGAGGAAGACATTCAAGTTGGAATCGTTGTTTTTCAAAATTTGTAACCCTATTCAAGACTAGTGGTGGGAATGGGAGAAAGAAGAAACAAATCAAGAAGAAAATAATGTCTTGGTAATGACAAAGAACAAAATTAAGTAGGTTAGATTATGCTGCAAAGAAAGCAACGTAAAAGTCAATAAATTAGAGGCCTAATGGTCACTTATGCATTCCCTGTGGAAATCCACAGACAGAGGCATCATGGGACAAAAATGGAACAACGTTATTGTCAATCTTTGTCTTCAAGCATTATTCAGTGAACAAGTAAGATTTTGCATATTGAATGGGGAAATGTAACAATGAAGTAGTAAGCACAATTAAAGACATCTTTTTTCCATTTAAAATAGCAGTTGGTAAATAAAGGGTAAAATATTCACACTTGATATGAAACAAAAGACACACATATTTAATCATTAATAAAAAGGGAGGACAACATAAAGAAAAAGGTTTATAATTTTACCATGTTAGGCCAATCTATCATCTCAGAAAACCACATGCCTTGTGGCTCATTTTCAGTCCCACATTCAGAAGGAAACATATCTTCAACAGAACCTTCAGACAGTGGATCCTCAGAAAAACAGAGCTCTAACTCTCCATCCAGATTTCGGTCAGACATAGCATCAACTTCCTGCCATCCTGCAGTCCCATGCTCTCTTCTTAATGTTGACTGAACCAGCTGAGGAGATCTAGATCCTTTAAAAGGGCAAACATTTTAGACATTTACAAATGAAAAATAAGACTATTATTTCCTTAAATCCTTGGAACAATAACAGAAAACTGTTCGGTATTTTATATTTTAGTTGAAAGAACAATATTTACAATTCAAATAATGTAACTAAATTATTAACCAATATACATGATGTTAGTGAATAAAAGTGATAGAATACATAGCTGTCACTCAGTAACCACAAGGCAAAAGACTAAAGCACTGGCAAAGATTTGTAGCTTGAGTTGTGGGTGAGGTTGTTGACTTGCTCGCCGAGCTGGCTTGTTCTCGTTCAAACGTTTTGGAAATGACACTACTCACCATAACGGACCGGACAGTATAAATTCCGAGCAGAGTAGAATAACATCGCTTCATCGGAGGCTCCACTGATGATGTCACCTAGCACGGTGACGAAACATCTGAACAAGAACAAGCCAGCTCAGTGAGCAAGTCAACAACCTCAATGTGAAACAACAAGTTGTAGAGCTGGATGAACACAGCAGGCCAAGCAGCATCATAGGTGCAGAAAGGCTGACGTTTCAGGCCTAGACCCTTCATCAGAAATGGGGGAGGGGAAGGGGGTTCTGAAACAAATAGGGAGGGGGAGGCGGATAGAAGATGGATAGAGGAGAGGATAGGTGGAAAGGAAACAGACAGGTCGAAGAGGCGGGGATGGAGTCAGTAAAGGTGAGTGTAGGTAGGGAGTTAGGGAGAGGATAGGTCAGTCCAGGGAGGATGGACAGGTCAAGGGGGCGGGATGAGGTTAGTAGGTAGGAGGTGGGGGTGCGGCTTGAGGTGGGAGGAGGGGATAGGTGGGAGGAAGAACAGGTTAGGGGACGAGCTGGGCTGGTTTTGGGATGCAGTAGGGGGAGGGGAGATTTTGAAACTTGTGAAATCCACATTGATACCATTGGGCCGCAGGGTTCCCAAGCGGAATATGAGTTGCTGTTCCTGCAACCTTCGGGTGGCATCGTTGTGGCACTGCAGGAGGCCTGGACAAACCTCAATGTGAAAGACTGTTTCATCAGAACTAAACCTAGCTTGACTTTTCACCTGCCAAATATTTCTAGTGCTTTCTGACTTTGCTTAGGGGGTTGCTTAGCTCAGGTGGCGACTGACTAGTGAGATGCAGAATGATGCCAACAGCCGTAGTTCATTACCAACACTGGCAGTGGTAATTCATGGAGGTCTGCTAAAAGAGATGCCTTTGGTTTTTTTGGGACAATGGCTAATTATCAATCTGCCTTTGTTTGAAATTATCAGAATTCCTTTCATTCCAACTGAATTAACATTTTACTTTTATTATAGGGAACAATGTAAAATTCAGACAATGGAATAATTCTCCACTGTTTGTACCTAGTGTCAATCTCAACCAGTAAAATACAGTGGCTGCATGCCAACTACACAAGGTCAAAACTAGTTGATCTAAAAAATGTCACAAAATTAGCCATCTTTGAGATCTACATAAAACTGCTAGCTTAGTGTCAATTAGTCTTGTATGGATATAAAACAAAGAACTGCAGATGCTGTAAATCAGGAACAAAAACAAGTTGCTGGAAAAGCTCAGCAGGTCTGGCAGCATCTATGTGGAGAAAGCTGAGTTAATGCTTTGAGTCCGGTCTTCATCAGAATTGATAGCAGCAGAAAAGGAGATATATACACTTAAGACAAGCTGTAGGGGCTTACTTGGGGCAACAGGAAGACTTAGGTGGAGACAGAGTCCACAGACAAGGTGATATGAAAGGGATAGGCAGGCAAGCGGTTTATTGATAATAGGCCGGCAAGCGGTTTATTGATAATAGGCCAGGACAGAACACAAGCTGAATAAGTGATAATGAGAGCTGAGAGAAGGAGGGAGTGGGTAGACTGTGCGGAAACAACCCATGTCATGATAGGACCAGGGCGTGGGGGCGTGTAAAAAGCATGGAAGGACAATATCAGGCTCTAAAGTTATTGAGGAAGGGTCACTGGACCCGAAACGTTAACTTTGATTTTATCTTCACAGATGCTGCTGGACCTGCTGAGCTTTTCCGTCAACTTCTGTTTTTGATCCTGATTTACAGCATCCGCAATTCCTTTGGTTTTTCTAAAGTTATTGAATTGTGTGTTGAATCCTAGAGGCTGCAGGATACCAAAATGGAAAATGAGATGCTGTTCTTCCCATGTATGGATCTCTGAATTATACACGGACCTGTGTGAAATTGGTGTGGGCTGCTCAAAAACATGAGTTTGGAATCTACTGCTTCAACTCTTTTGATCCATTGACTGCCTTTGTTGCTAGATTGCTTTGCTCGTTATCCACTCTTTGAGGAACCACAATTTTCTTCAGTTAATCTCTGAGAAAACTGGAATAATCTCCCCACACCGTAAGATTCATATCCTCAATTGATTCCATACACCAAATATCATAGCTTCAGGATAAACCATACTGCTTGACCTAAAAAGATTGCCTGCCTCTAGGTAGCTCAATTCATCTATTGTTATTTCCAGGCTAGGTTACTCCAATCGTTTCCTGACCAGGTTCCCAGCCATGCCCCTCCAAAACCTCACCTTAATCAAAGCTCTACTGCTAATATCCTATCTTCTCCAACTTGTACTTGAGGAAGGATGTAGTTTATTGGAGGCAGTTCAGAAGATGTTCGCTAGATCGATTCCAGAGGTACGGGGCTTTTCTTGTGAAGGACAAATTGAGCAGTTTAGGCCCACAGTCTCTGGAGTTCAAGAGAAGGTGAGATCTAACTGAGGTAAATAAGATGTTAAAGTGGATTGACAAGGTAGATATAAAAAGGATGTTTCCTACTGGGGATTTCAAAACTCCGGAGCATATTTGAAGGTGAGAGGAGAGAGATTTAAAAAAGGCATGCAGTGCAATTTTTTTTTAAAACACTGTAGTTCATATGTGGAACAAACTTCCTGAGAAAGTGGTGGATGTGGGCACAGTTACAACTTTTAAAAGACACTTAAAAAATTACATGAAAATGAAAGGTTTGCAGGGATATGGGCCAGAGGCAGGCAGGTGGGGACTAGTTTGGAAATATGTTCGGCATGGACTGGTTGGACCAAAGGTTCAGGCTCTGTGCTGTATGGCTCTATGACTCTATGTGGGGCAATATAGAACGAGAAGTCATAGTTTTAGAATAAAGAGTAGCAGATTTAAAACAGAGATAAGGAGAAATTACTTCCCTCAAAGGGTATTGAATTTGTGGAATTTACTACTCCAGAGTTCAGTGGATGCTGGGACATTGAGTAAATTTAAGTAGAAGATAGACAGATTTTAATTAGTAATGGCCTGAAGGGTTATGGCAATTGGCAGGAAAGTGGAGCTGAGCTGAGATGAGGCCGAGTTGAGACATCATTGGATTGAATGGTGCAGCAGGCTTGAGGGGCTGAATTGCCCCTAGTTCTTATGTACACCCATTACCCAAACCTTCTTTACATGCATGGGCTATCGCTTTCCAAGTGCCTACAATTTAAAATTAGGAACTTAATAGGAGCAAGGGTAGTCCATATGATTCCTCAAGCCTGTTCTGTCATACAATAAGATTGTGCGCAAATCCACTTTCCTACCCAGTGCCCATAATGAATCCCTTACAAGTCCAAAATCATATCTATCTCAGAATATACAACAATAGAGTATTCCCCACCCATCTGGTTTTTGTTTTCTTCATTCATGGAATGAGGGTGCAGCTGGCTAGGCCAGCATTTATTGCCCAGGGGGCAGTTAAGAGTCAACCACATTGCTGTGGGTGTCGAGTCAAAGATAGGTCAGATCAGTAAAGGATGGCTGATGTTCCTCCCTAAAGAAGCCGATGGGTTTTTAGTTAACGTGTGGGGAGTGGGCGTGAGTGAGGCCCATGTCCCCAGAACATTAGCCTGGATTTCTGGATTACTAGTTCAGTGACATTACCATGACACCACCATCAATCCCAGGAGAGAACCTTTGGAATGATGAAATTCCTCCCCACCTCAGTCTTCCATGATCCTGAGATTACGTGTCTAGTTTTACACTTTCCAATTAAGCGAACAACCTTTCAACATCTATCCTGACAACCCTGCTCGTAACATGCGAACAAGCAGGATATTTAATAAGACCACGGCTGATCTGATTGTAATCTCAAATTCACTTCACAAACTCCAGTGGAAACAAGTCCAATCTTTCCTCATAAGGCAACTAGCCTATTCCAGGTATTAGTCTGGTAAACTTTTTCTGAACTGTTTCCAATGCATTTACATCCTTCCTTAGGAAAGGAGAGCAATAATGTACTCAGTACTCCAGATGTGGTCTCACCAGTGTCCTGTATAACTGAAGCATAACCTCCTTACTTTTGTATTCAATTTCCCTTGTAATAAATGATGACATTCTATTAGCTTTCCTAATTGCTTGCTATGCATTCAAACTAGCCTTCTCAGATTCACGCAGTAGTACACCCAGATCGTTCTGCATCTCTCAACTCTGGAATCTCTTGCCATTTAGATATGTTTTCCATTTATTCTTCCTAACAAAATGGACATTAATCATATTTTCATGCTGCATTTGCCCCATTTTAACCCTCTCACGTTAGCATATCTATATTTGTAGACACCGTATAACCTATAGCCTCTTCATAACTTGCTTTCCTACCTATTTTTGCATCCTCAGCAAATCTGCCAACAAATCCTCTGTCTCTTCATCCAAGTCATTCATAAAAATTGTAAACAGTTGAGATCCCAGTACTGATCCCTGTGACACACTACTCATTATTCATGCCAATCTGAAAAGACTCATTAATGCCAACTCTTGTTTTTTGTTATCAGACCAATTTTCTATCCATGCCAATATATTACTCTCTGCATTGAATTTTTCTTTTCAACAATAACCTTCGATGTGGTATTTTACCAAATGTCCTCTGAAAATTTAAGAACAATACATCTCCTGGTTCCGTTTATCCACTGGAGTTCTTTGAGGAAGTGACATGCAATGATGGTTAAGCATAATTTTCCTTTCACAAAACCATGTTGACTCTGCATGGTCACCCTGAATTGTAGCTATTACTAAAATAGTTTTGGCTGGGTACATAGAGATGTCTCAAAAACAATTAAACCAGATGGACCAGTTGGTATCAACCTCGGCACCAGAAACAAAGGCTAACGTGGTCCTGAAGACCCAACAAGGCCCTCCATACTACCATCTGGGAGCGAGTGCCAAAATTGGGAAAGCTGGCTCACAAGCTAGTCAAGCAAACTCTGATATTGTTTGTAAGGTACTATTCCATGAACATTACGATGCCCCAAATACCAAGATTGCCAGCCTTGGGTACGTATTGTCCCATCAGCAGAGTCTGCAGCATTGACTCTGGATTCTACGAAGTTGTCATTGTTATCAAGCCAAGCATTTACAAGGAAACATGCTGTTGATAACCACCTATGATACCGCTTCAGTCATTAAATCAGTCATTAATAAAGGACTCAACCAGCTGCTAGACTGGGTCTGCAACAGATGGTGAAGGAACCTATAAGAGGGAAAAATATACTTGACCTCATCCTCACCAATCTGCCTGCTGCAGATGCATCTGTCTGTGATAGTAGTGGTAGGAGCGACCACTACATAATTCTTATGGAGATGATGTCCTGACTGAACATTGTGGATATCTGCCAATGTAGCAGTACTGCCATGTTAAATGGCATAGATTTCTGATGACCCAAGATTGGGCCATCCATAACATTTTCCCCACAACAGATGTTAACCTAATTGGCCTGTAGTTTCTTGCTTTCTGTCTACTTCCCTTTTTGAATAAGGGATTACATTTGTTATCTTCAAATCCAACGAGACCTTTAATTTGGAAAATTAAAGGAAATAATATGGGTTGTGTGAAAATTGTTCACATTGACAGAAAGAATCAAATAAATAGTAATACCTAATTGGAAAAACAACTTAGAATTGCAAGGTACAGAGGGCTTTACATGAATGCGTGTATTTGTTACAAATAATATGCAGACTCAGTATATAATCAAGAAGGCTAATGGGTTGCAATGCTTTATGATGAAAGGAATTAATCATTAAAGTAAGGGTACAGTGTTTCAGTTATACAGGGCATTGGTGAGACTGCATCTTAAATACTGTGTGCAATTTTGGTCTCCTTATTTAAGGAAGCACGTGAACAGCATTAGAGGGAGTTCGGAGGTGGTTTGCTAGATTGATATATAGATGGGAGGGCTGTCTTTTGAGGAAAGGTTGGACAGGCTGGGCTTGATTCCACTAGAGTTTAGAAAAATGAGGGGTGAATTGTCTGAAGTGTTTAAGATCCTGAATGGTCTTGACAAGATGGTTGTGAAAGGAATGCTTATGGGTCAGTCCAGAATTAGGGACCATTGTTTTCAAATTAGGTGTTGCCTTTTCAGTATAGCTGATGAGAACTTTTTTTTTTTCTCTCTCAGAGGATTGCATGACTTTGGATTTTGGGCCATTGGGTTCTCAACTTTTCATAATTTACATCAAAAACTTAGATGATGAGTGTGAAGGCACGGTGCGTAAATTTGCAGACAAGATAGGTAGCAAAGTATCTCATGAAAAGACACAAAGATGTTCCAGATAGTTCAAGTGGTTAGGTAAAAAATCTGGCAGATAAAGTATAATGTGGGAAAATGTGAGGTCGAGAACTTTTTCAGGCATCTGTTATTTTGGATCTCTACCTCAGAAGGTGGTGGAGGTAGGTTCATTGAACACTGTTAAGACAGAGGTGGAGTCTGTTGGTCAGGGGAATGAAGGGTTGACACATGAGAATGTGGAATTTGAAACACAAACAGACCAGCCACGATTTTATTGAATGGTGGAGCAGGCTTGATGGGTTAAAGGGTCTACTTCTGCTCCTAATTCGTATATTTGTATCTTGTTGCATAACACCAAGTCTGGTTGGCTCCAGAACATGCTGATCTAAGAAACTACTCTGAAAACATTTCATAAACTCCTCAGCTAGACTTTGGATATCTGACTTTTCTTTGTAACCTTGTAAACTTCTTTTAATTGAATATTGCCTTTAACTTCTTTAGTTAGCCATTGATTTCTGACTTCATGTTTAGATTCTTATTTGGCATTTCCACTTTCCTTCAAATATAGCTTACAGCACTGTCACTTACTCTTCTTTCCTTCTTACTTTGGTAATGTACATCCCTATTCATCGCCTGGCTGCAAAAGTATTTGTTTTCTAGGTCAACTTGACAACAGCAACAGCAGAATCATGACTGGTGTCATTATACAACTGTATCTTACCAGCTCCTCTAAATGTAGACCGCTGTCCTTGACTCGCTCTACGTCTTCGAGCAGGTGGAGGTCTATTTCTAGTCAAATGCACGTCTATAAAATTTCCTCTTTCTATCTGATCCAAACCATCTGTTGTTCTATTCATCAGTTGGGGAGGAAGATGGGGAAAAACAAAAGATCAAGATAAAATTTCAAGGAGAAGCTCTAGTTATTATTAATGCATGACTGGCACAGTATCCAAAATTTTATAATTAGGACTGTTGACTGAGTGAACATGAGGAAAGACAAAAAAAAACAAACGTGCTGGAGAAACTCAGCAGGTCTGGTAGCATCTTTGGAGACAGAAACAGAGTTAAATGTTTTGAGTCCAGTATGACTGTTACTTCAGAAATGAGAAAAGGGCAATTGGGCCAACAAGTAATTGTGCTTTAAATATCTTTATTGTCTTGGTCACTTTCCTTTGTAGGTTATTCCACTATCACCATGTAAGGATATTTGTGATATATGCTCTTTACTCCTTTTT